ATTGGCAAGGTTTCAGTGTGGTAGTGTTATATTTTAGGGTTTCATGTTCTTTAAGTCTTGTCTTAGCTTGTCTAACAGTTTTTCCAATGTAAGAAGCTTCAAATTTCGACCAGTTAATTTGATAAATCACCTCTGACTGTATATGTTTATGTAATAGATCTTTAGATGAGAAAAGGGAACCAATGATGGGTCGTGAAACGAGATATTGGTTGCAGGTGTATTTGAGATCTTACAATTTTGGCTAAGGATGTCAATCGTTTTCTTAAAATTCCAGAATATTTTCAAACATAAGGTATGTTCCACAGAATAACTTTTTCCCGTATTAGAAGTATTAATTTTGTTGATTTTTTCAAAAATATCTATTTAAGGTTTTATTAACATGGGAATCAATAAAGTTTAAAGGATAATCGTTTTCAATCAATATTTTTTTTAATAAATATGATTTCTTTATGTAGCAACGGGTATGTTGAGCAGATACAAATTGCTCTGCATGCCATGCTACTGACTGCGTTTGATTTATAGGTTTTAGGCAAAAAGAAATTTCATTTTAAATATGAATCACAGTACATGGGCTTTCAATATACTATTGTAACGAAACGTGTTGAACTATTGGTAGCATTACGCACAGTTAGTATATCTAAAAACGGGAAAGTTTTATTTAGAAGAAATACCCATGTATTTTTTCAGGTGTAGGATGAGACAGAAAACGTTAACAAGCAAGCACAAAAAACGAGAAAGAATATTCTTCGAAAGTTAGAATGTTCGGTCCCATCATTGATTGGTTACTGGATTTCCAGTAGATAGCCTTTCAGTTGGAATAAATTATCTGCGTCATTTGTATTATTAGCCATATCAGCAAAGGGTGTCCATCATTTTCTAGTCTGATATTGTTTTTCTTTCACCATTTCGTGCCATAAGATCGAACGTGTCCCGTAATGTCCTATGGTTTGTATTATTGTTTAAACTTTTGGCATGTGTACTTATTGTTAGAATTGTTATTCAATCCTTTAGTAACTTTACGTAATGGTTTTTCTTGACTAAGTTTTGATTGATTTAATCTTCTCTTATCCGCTCTCTCGTTATATCCTTGAAGAACTTGTTTAATCTTTGGATGTACAGCAGCTGATTTCACGTTACTATTAATGATTTTTTTGCCATGCCTCTCTATGCTCAGTGTCTCTTCTCCAACTGTTAATGTTGAATTTTTCAAGATCATCTTTAATTTTGTGGGTGTGGGTCCCACACCCAAGCCCTACCCAAACCCTCTTATACATAAGAAAGATTCATTTGTTCTTCAATTCATTAAATAAGACACTATGCTATCTATTTATTCCACGTTAAACATATATAAAATAGATGTAACTCAATGTGTAAATTTTTATTAATAACCATGAAACTAATCTTTGTTAAATAGATTTAACGGTTTTGCATTGATATATGATTCTATTCTATATACAATACTAATCAGTTTGTACCATCAATTAAGACATTTAAAGTCTAATGAGTTTAAATAGCAGGTGATAGCATATTTGATTGTTCATCTTCTAACATTTTGTTTTCTTCAACAATCAGCGAAGATTGTATTGTTGTCGGTGAAATTGGAGAACCTTTCTCAGGGTTTTTCAAAATAAGCATTTCACAATCTCGAATGAAAAACCATCCACCATGAATAACAAGAATATCGCTAATTATCTTCTTTCGCCGTATATCTAACAAATGAAATCCAGTTCTATTCGGTACATTACTAGCAATAACGAATAATGCGCCTAAAATCATTGAAGAGACTTTAATCCAACTTTCAATATTTAATGGGCTTAGTATTTTTTTTCCTTTCATTCCATCTTAATTTTAATTTATTTTTGTCTATATTAAATATAGCATGTGGTATGTCTCTTTGTGCGAGATTTCTTTACCATAGCTGATTTATCATACCAGTACTCATTCCAGACAAACAACCTGCTAGATAACGTGTGATTCCATGGATAAGTAGAAGATGAGGTTCGATTTCTTTGGTTGTTGATGAAGCAATCGTTTCGTTTCTTTTCCCATTTTCTATTGTGTTTGCGGTAGAACTTTCGACATATCTGATGAACAATTCATTCTGAATCATATAATAAAAAGTGAATGTCTCCCACATGAAATTAAGTACAAGGCCATTCAATGGAGCTGATATAAAAAAACGTTTTAAACTAATCCATCTAGTTTCAGCATGTTTTCGTCTGTTTCTCATTTCTGGTTTCGCTATATAAAATCCATGAAATAACTTCGTACTTAAAGCCATACCAGTTCGTGAAGAATGTGTATGCAGATAACCAGCAGCTAATTGACCAAAAGCTGTTGCCATTATTGTAATCAATGATTTTGTACCGAACATAAGAGCAGTTACTGTAAAAGATATTGGTACAGCAGAAAAGGATCCACTGTAAGCAATGAAACCCATAACAATACCAGAAAGACATGCTTGTAGGATGCTTAAATCTTTTGATGGAAGAATAATATTATTATTGTTTTTCTTTACTACCGATTTGTCATTATTTGAATTCATTATATGCAAATCAAGAAAAAAGAAGGGAATTTATTGTAAAAGATAAATAAATAACCTGGGAAAAAAAACAAGTTTCTCTCGTTCCCTTACTTGTACATTTATATACTTAATCACACATGAATGTATCGACTCATTACTAGAAAAGTCTTGCGTATTAAGGTGGTTTACGCGTATCAAATATGATCGTGTATCTTGACTAGGATATTTGTAATAATAAATGACAGCTTATTGGAAAAGTATTTTTCTAACTTCTGCTTACTACTGTTCTGCGGTCAGAGGATTTTTGTATAGGATCAATTTTTCTAAAATATCAGATTTTCTTTGAAAAATGCCAAAAATATACAAGTTTTTATGCATTGATGTTAATGAATTTTTTGACTTAAATGACTCTGACACTTGATATTTGTTTCTCTAGGCTGTTAGTCAGAACCGTGTACAGTTAATACCCATGTAATTCGAACTGGAGAAAAATTGGCGGTATGGGGTGTAGGTGTAGATGTGAGTGGAAATATAAGACTCCACTCTTCATCCACCTCACATGCACATCTATCGATTTGAATCAGGTTTAAATGCAATATAAATGCACTAAAACCAATTTTAATCTGTTCACATGCAATTCTTATCCATTGAACTTAAGTTGAAATGCATTTACGTACGATTTATATGCATTTAAGTAGGATCAAAAGGTAATACAAGTGGATTTGAATTCAAGTAAAATGCATTTAAATTGGGTTTAAATGCAAAATACATTGATTTATATTGATTCAAATGAGTTTAAATCCTATTTAAGTGCAACTAAGTTCAATATAAATGGGTTTTAGTTAGATTGAAATGCACTCAAATCGAATCAACTTGGATTTAAATGCATTTGTATTGAATTGACATACATTTAAGTTGAGTTGGAGTGCAGTTGTCCACGATTTAAACCCATTGAAATTTGATTTAAATGCAATATAAATGGACTTGAACTGATTTAAATGAGTATTAATAGGTTTTAAATGGACTGATACGCGTTTAAACCTGATTAAATCTCGTTTATACTGTATTTGAACCTATACCCAATCAGACAAGACCCTTAAAAAACGTGTTAAAATTGTTAACGTTTCATAATAATATCATTTTAGCGATAATATATCATTAAAATGGTGTTATTACGAAATGTTAAACAATATATAACGCGTTACTATATCTTGAACCGGCTAAAATGTGTAATTTTTCCGAAACTTACGCGTTTTTACGACGGTGTCGATGTGGATTTTATGAGTTAAATCGCGTTCAATCGGATCGGAAACACTTGAATGCAGTAATGTCTTATAAAAAACTCGGATTATTATTTTTTTCTTTTGGTAGTGCATTAATGCGCTCCATATCGGTTTATTATAGCTCCATTTTTAAGCAGAAATGAACGCTTTCCTATAAATATATTACCGCATGAATGTTGAATGGTATATTGTTAATTCTAAGGCAATATGTCTAACGTTTATGCAACATATACGTAGGTGTTCATGCCTGAATTGATTTTTGAGCAAGATGAAAAACTGTTGATAAAGCTTCAAAGAGAAAAGTATATCTTAAATACATCGCGTATATTTTTTTCTCCGCTACAATGGATTCTAAAGAGCAGCTTCAATTCATGCTTTTATCTAAATCCTCTTATAGCTTTTTCAAATTCATATTTGATTATAATCTACTTATTCAATACATTAATAATCGGTTATTTCTTTTTTATTCAACGATATTTTTTGCAATACAAAAGATTTAATTGCAACAATATAAGTTTGAAAATTTCTTGTATTAATATTTAACAAGAAAATGACATGAACAAAATGAATGAATGTTTTATTCAGAATAAAAAATAAGTCAGCATTGAAGAATTCAAGAAAAATTTTCAAGTGAACACTAAAAGATCTGGAAATATTGAGGACCTACATATCGAATCTGGATTCTCATAAACTTGGCATATAAGTTTTTTTTTAAATAAAGACAAACTATATAGATATAGGCTTTAATGACATTATTTGAGCAGCATTAATAGAGAAGTCATTAATGTGAGTATCCGTATTGACTTCTGTGGTTGACAATGGGTGTTCGTTTGTTTTCCCTTCTCACACCCATATCCAACTCTTTACGTATCTTTCTATCTTCTGTTAGTACAACATTCAAACAAATACATTGTGAATATATGTATCTCTTTCTATTTCTCTTTTGTCTTCTGTATTCAATTAATGAACTCATTATATTACAATCAAGTTGAGTTGAACATAAACAAAGATATAGAGAATATTTTTGTCAGACAAATATTTTACAAAAATATTTTTCTACTTATTAATCAAAAGATGCTCTTGAAGTGGTATTAGTCGTCTTTTTAAAATTTCCCAAATGAATAGCTAGCTGGCGCTCATAGAGAAAATGAATGAGTGCATATATATTTGTTTCGCAGAGATGTTGAAATTCATCGAAAGATAATTTAGACTATTATTGACAGAAGAATAAAAACAAAAATTTATAAAAAAAAAAATTATCTAATAGGGAATAGGTCTAGGAGTAAAACTATAACGATATACAGATAAAGACATAAGTATCGAAGTATACGTATAAGAGTTTACGGGTAAGAATATAGATATAAGGATAGAAGAAGAAAGACATACGTGTGAGAATGTGGACGCAAGGCTATAGGTATAACGATGTAGGGGTATATTTGTAAGATTATATGAATAAGGGTATAGATAAATGGCTTTAGGAATACGGAGACAGATATAAGGGGATCGAGGCAAGAATATAGGTATAAGGCTTTAGTAGTCAGGATATTGTTGTTAGACTACAGATGTAAGGTTATAGGGGTAAGGGTATAGAGATAAGAATACAGGAATAAGAGTACCCTCAAGTATCCTTAGCTAGCTCTCAAGTAATCACGATGTATTACATTTTCTCTTTCCTTAAAGAATATGCTTAATTCCATAATTCAACGTGTAAAAATACCCTTAAAATGTTAAACAAAAAAATCGTAAAAAGCACACATTCAAAAACGTTACGAATGCATGAAAGTGTGGCTATGAGTGTGGTTGTTGGTCTTATCTCCAGCAACAGCCACGACCCATGACTCACATCAACCCGTTTTAGTAGATACGAGATAAGCATCTAGATAATTATCCGATCCTATCCTTGACTCATAAAGTGTTGAACCAGCTTATTGCTTAGCTGCCTCATACGCTTTGCAAGAACTACAATTGGTAATGATAGAACAGAGAAATTACAGTGGTAAATTGCTAAACCTCTACTAACTGTTCTTATACAATCGCAAAGAACTAGCACTCGTCTACTACGATTTCGCATCTATCGAGTCGATTTTTGATGAATAGACAAGATGGGAAAAGCTTGACAACATTGAGCTTCAATGAAAGAAAAACATCTGTAATAGCTGTATCTTGACTGACCATTATTATTGCCAAAATTGAAATTTGTCTCAAATATTCTTAATAGCCATGCAAGTTGGATGCATATCTCCGTCAGTTTTGTGTTTTGAATTTAAAGTCAAACAGTAATTATCATAGTCGGAAACTGCTTTTTCTTTTGGAAATGGTACAAAATACTTTGACTTAAGTTGAAATATCCTACTACTTAGTTTTATGTGTAAGTGCGACACATTTTTTCCTGGATACATTCTTTAACGAGTACGACTAACTATAGTTACAAACGAACAAAGTCTCAAACTCAACTAGTTTCTAACATAGATTCAGCAGTAGATTGTCGAAACATCGTCACCTTTCTTAAAGAACTCATACACATGTATCATTTTGAATTTCTCGACTATATTATTTCAAATTGATGTACATATGAGCTGATTCGCATCCATTGATGACCACTCTGTGCAATAACAAGGTAATTTGTCTGATTAAAAAAGGATGTATCTCAAGATTATCACTGTCGCTCAAGATGAAAGAGGTCTAATGCCGAGGGTGTGAATGCATGTACTTGTGGGTCTTCTCATTACCCAAATCCACATCCACACGTCTGTATTATCTTCAGTATTAATAATTGCCAGATGTAATGATTCATTCTTACATGTTTTGATTTCAGATTTTGAAACAAATTTTATCTACTATTTTATTCTTTATTACAAAAAAATCTTAAAATATTGTGTTACAATGCTTATTTTTTGTGTGCGGGCGTAGGTGCCGGTTATACTTGGAGTTAGCAGAAGGTTCACCCACACCCATTCTTTTTCTGATCTTCTAATGTTTGAAAAGATGTTATTTGAGTTTCACTTTTAGAATCGTGATCTATTTCAGGAATAATCATTAGATTTTCTGAAAAGAAAAAAGAAATACAGAATATATAAGCCAAAAATATTCTTTTTTAACGTTTATATTATAAAATAAATAAAATAAATTTACTTACTCAGATTAGAATTAGAAACATCATTGTTAAGATCACTAGTTTGTCTATCAATACACAATATACGTGAATCGTTTAACTTTTTGTGATACGATACGTTATTTTCATAAATTTTCCAAGAAAAATAATCATGTCGAAATGCCACAAATAGAATTAGAACTGTAATCGAAAGAGGAAAAAACAAATATTAATTGTCCGACAGATCGATGTAAAAGCTACTTTGCACAGAAAACGTTTTTTATTGGTTCCAATTAAACCATTAGAATCGATTCAGGACGGTCATTCCGATCGTCGAAAATCGTTATAAAACGACAAATTACTGCATTAATTTTGATATTACTTCTCCGTAATTCGTCATACCATTTTACGAGCCGTTGTCATCGCCAGACAGCGGTCGTCGTATTCCCCGCTAATTACCTTCGTTGTCTAGTATGAAAAATTACGGCGCCGGTTTCTTAGACCTGACCAGCTAAATCAACAATATATTCCGCTTGTGATAATGAATCCGATATAACCAACCTCACCTAAAAACCAAGAAGTACAGAGATATCGATAATTATGGAAAAAAATTATCACTAACTGCACAAAATATCAATTTGTCACGA